TGGCAAGTCCAGCAGCGAGGTGTCTGGCGGCGGCATCCCCAGCAGCAGTTCCCTGCAGAGGAAGAAGCTCATCTCTATCTGCGACCACTGCAAGATCAAGATGCAACTGGTGGCTGATCTGCTGCTGCTGTCGAGCGAGACCAGGCCGGTGAACACTGAGAGCCTGTCTGTCTTCGGTGAGTCCTTCGAGAAGTGCAGGGACACGATCATTGCCAGGACCAAAGGACTCTCCATCTTGACCCATGACGTCCAGAGCCAGCTCAACATGGGACGCTTCGGGGAGGTGGGGGAAAGCCTGATGGAGATGGGGGAGCTGGTGGTCTCCCTGACCGAATGCTCTGCCCACGCTGCCTACCTGGCTGCAGTGGAGACGCCGGGGGCCCAGCCTGCTATGCCCGGCTTGGTGGATCGCTACAAGGTGACCCGATGTAGGCATGAGGTGGAGCACGGCTGCGGGGTCTTGAAGACCACCCCTTTGGCAGATATGAGCCCTCAGCTCCTGCTGGAGGTTTCTCAGAACATGTCCAAGAACTTGAAATTCCTGACTGACGCCTGCGTGCTGGCCAGTGAGAAATCCAAGGATAAATTTGCTAAGGAGCAGTTCAAACTCAGTGTCAAATGTATGAGCACCAGCGCCTCTGCCCTCTTGGCGTGTGTCAAGGAGGTCAAGACTTCACCCAGCGAGCTGACCAGGAACCGATGCGTCTTGTTCAGTGGACCTTTGGTGCAGTCTGTCTATGCTCTGGTGGGCTTTGCCACTGAGCCCCAGTTTTTGGGTAAAGCTGCCACCATTAATCCAGAGGGCAAAGCTGTGCAAACTGCCATCCTAGGAGGAGCCATGAGTGTGGTATCTGCTTGTGTGCTCCTGACCCAATGCCTCAGGGATATAGCCCAACACCCCGAAAGTAGCACCAAAATGAGCGATTACAGGGAAAGGTTGAGGAACTCAGCTTGCGCCGTCTCGGATGGTTGCAACCTGTTATCTCAGGCACTAAGAGAAAGATCTTCACCCAGGACTTTACCGCCAGTGAACTCCAATTCTGTGAATTAACCCCCACATCTTCTGTTTAGATCCCAGTCATTGCTAAAGGAAAATAATATCCCACCTCCTCGCCCCTTTTTTGTATACCAAAGAATTTGCTTGGATGAGCCCAATCCTTTGATTTCATGTGGTGAAGAAGCAGAGCATATTCAAACTATACGTACTAATAAAGGTAGCCAGTTTTGGCTTCTTTTTATTTTACTTTAAAGTCAAGCAAGTATCTGCAGATAAATTTTCCTTTACTCAACAAGGTCTTTCACAAAGATGGTAATAACAACTGTTTAAAAGTTTTTTATATTTGGGGAGGTGGGGGTATCTTAGGGAAAAAAAAAAAGAGAAAAAAAAAAAAGCTTTAATCGCGCTGGGTGCGGTTTTTAAAGTTTGTCTTGTCTTGTCTTCCGAAATTTCCCTTCTAAATTTTACTGTTCGGTTGTGCAGGAAAAAGGTTACCTCAGTTCTCACTCATTTAAAAAAAAAAAAGAAAAACCCAACAACACATAGATGATGGATGTAGCTACTATTTTGTTTGTTTTTGTTTTGTATGACTTTTTTATTTTGCATCAAGTGTTAGGTTAGAAGTGCATTTGGTGTGTAGGAGTGGAAGGACTGGAGGTTGTGATTATGTTTCCATGTGTTGATTTCCAAACTGGGGGAAAAGCTACTGTGAGTGTTCAAACAAACAAACAAAAAATTACACTATAACAAAAGTGATTTTTAATTTTTTTTTCCAATGTCAGTTTTTATCTTGCATGTACTGGAGTATTTATTTCATCTATTAAAATGTTATGTTTCTCAGATGTCTTTCCGTGAATCTCTTAATACTTGAATAATTGAACAACTAGGCCTGTTTGCATTGTATGTCATTTTCCCCAGGGAATGGGTGGTACAAATGTAACTGTAGTTCTAGACAGCAGCATACAGGCTGCAATTCAGTTCTTTTATTTTTATAAATACTGTCCCTCCTGCAGTACCACCCCTCCTCCTCAGGACGCCTCTGATAGAGATACTCTGTTGTTGTATTTATGGAAAGCTGGACAGTGCTGTATGCGTTGGGACTGCTGTAGCTGCGGAGCGCTGGCGGCTGCTGCAGCGGGGCACAGGCTGGCTTTTTTTGTCTTTATCGGCAGCATTCTGTGTTATCTTTGAGAAGTTTGTGTATTTTTAACTCTTGCAGATGTGGGCCATCTGTGTTAAATTTGTGAGTTTCCATATGAATTTATTAAGGATTTCTTGGAAAAACTTTTCCTTGCTGGATAGCCCCGCTTGTTCCGTGTGTCTGCTTAGGAACGTGCAGGTTTGCCAGAGTGGACCCTTTGATTCCTCAGAGGTGTGTGTCGGAGCCCCTCAGTACAGATTTCTGTCAAAGTAGTTTGATGTTGCAAATAATGGGAAAAGTTAGCTAACTTCTGAGGGCCGCATCCACCTCCAGTTGAATTCCTTGGGAATTGTGAGTGGACCTTAGGGAATACTGCAGCAGTTCCCATAATTGCACTGATTATTTTTTTTCAGCCTGGTCTTTGTGGACCTGTGGGGTCTGTTGCCTTCTGTGTGTTCCAAGAAGGTAAATAGAAGAGCAAGTCTTCTGGCAAGGAGGCTTTCTTTGCCTGCCCAGCTCCATTGCATAACTGGATTTTTTTTTTTCATAGGTCTGCAAATCGAACAATGTTGAAAGCTACTGGGGAATGTACCTTAAAGATGTTACCATGATTTAAACCTTTACTGTACAAGTACTGTCCTGTTTATTCCTTTGAAGAAGTAAACAGTTTGAGTTTGGATATGGAACAGTCCCGGAGTGCTAAAAGGTCTTCCTGTTACAGCTTTATTGTTTCTCTTGCATGTGATGCTTTTACTTAATTTAAAACATGAGTAAAACATCATTGGGTAGTGGACAAATATGTCCTGTCAAAGGAGATGTGCGCTAAGCTTATATATCTATATCTTTGGTGTTAGAAAAAACAATTCCTTAATTGTGAACCCCAGTATTAGGTTTTGTTTATTTTTAAATGAAACTTTTCTGACTTCAGGGAATCATATGATTAAGACTTTTCTTTGTGAAAAATCAGTCCAAGCTGCATTCCTCAGGGGTATGATTTGCTCCCTACGTTATCTCTGATGCAATATAACCCTAGCAGTATGTGCTGCAGAGGCATGGATGTCTATATCTATTTTGATAAATAAATAAATATACACACACTGTTCTAAGTTTGACTGAGATGCCTCCACAGGTATTTCCTCAGAGGCGCTCTCACATGTGCATGTACACGCGTTTTCCCATCTGGATGGCAGGGACAGCTGTAGGACTCCGGAGGGATTCACAGGAGGCCAAGGCTATCTACAGGGAGGTCCCTGTGCCTCTGTAGTGTTGGCGGTTGTCTGCTTCGCTATCCTTTGTGTCTCCCTCCCTTGTAGCGTTCTCTGTGGAAGCTGAGGTACCATCCCCATCTACCCTTCCTACTTTTCCGCAGTTGCACTGAGGGGAAGGAGGAAAAAGGGAGTGTAGCGATCGCCCTGCTTTCGGGATGTAGTGTCTTCTGTGGGCACAGTACCGGGGTGGCATCCTTCAGCTCCAGTCCTTTATGTTACCGTGACCTACGTTTGTGAGGCCTGCTGCCACATACAAACCAGGGTGCTGAGGGGCAGCTCTGCAGCATGTCTGACAAAAAAAAAAAAGAAAAAGTAACGTCCTGCTGGCTCTTTTGATGTTTCTACTTAATAATTTTTGGCGCTGCTGAACTAATTAGATTCTTTTTGATTCATTTATACGTTATTGAGGTTATATGGATCACAGTGCAGCCTCCTTATTACCTCTGCATATGAAAGGCAATATATTATTAGTGATGATAGCGCCAATTTTTGTTGTGGTAAGACTTCGCTTTAAGTGGTTTAGTGCAATTTTTGTTGTAACAAGGATACTGCAGATTCTTCCCCCTTTTCTGATTATATTTTAAAGTGAAGCACATGCATGCGTATATAAATAAGTATGAATCTTCTTTTTCCTTTTTTTTAACACAAAAGGAAAACGAATGGCTCTTAATCTCCCTTTGCTTTTGAGGTGTGTGGGTTTTGGCAGATTCAGTTTTATAAAACAAAACATGAAATGTAGCCAGGCCATGATTTTAGTTAAGAGGCTGATTAAAAATATATATACTAAATTCACCAAAGTAACTTCCTGTAACATTTTAAAATAACAGTAATTCTAAGACTTAAAAATGTTCAGTTTTTTCTTTCCAGAGTAGAACTCGCACAAAGGGAGCCATGCGCTCCCTGGCCTCAGTTCAAGAGAGTATCTGTCAAAATCTGTGCTATTCTTATAATTAGCACCACAAAGTTTAAAAAAAAAAAAAAAGCTTTTGATGCAAACAAGTACAAGTGTTGTTACGCACTCTGAGTAAATGATTAACAGGAAAAACTCTCTATATACATATACACATTGTGGCATTTTCTGAGCTGAAAGAGTGTGGTTCCACTACTACGTCTGAACATATGTATATTTTAAATGCTGTAGTGCCATATTCATAAAGACTTAATGTATATTGTGGTAATCTATTTGGCATCTATTCCTAAAGAATATTAATTCTGATATAAGACACTATTTCAGTAGGTATATTGATGTTGTTCATTTACTTTGTACTTTCTGGGACAGAAAAAAATACATAATGGACTAGTTGTCCGGGTGCAATTGCAGGCCACATCGAGGTCACTGATTATCACTTGCCATCATACTTTCGACCCTTGTTGCCCAAATGCTTACACCATTTAGGTCAACAGGTAGTGTCACTCTATTTCAACACAGGCTTAGACACACATGAGACTTATTTTCTAATCTGGAACCTTGGGGATAGTGACAAAAGAAAACTTAATATTTCAGGGTGCTTAAATGCACTATTAGAGTAGATCTATGACATATGGGATATAAGAAAAGGGTTAACTTATTTCTAAACACATTATGCAATGCGCATCTGTAGCCAAAAATAACACTGTCCCCACCAAAAGAGAATTAAGCTTCTTTTTTAAATGTAAGAAATTTTTAACAGGCAAGAAGTTGTCGCTTTTGTATTGTCTGTGAATTTGGTATTACCTTTTAATTGCTGCTTCGTCATAGTGAAGTTCATTATTGATTTAATACAGCAGCTGAGTCTTGGAATTTGAGATTGGAGCAATGTGTTTTCTGATTCTGAAAAAAAATAAGTTCTGTAAGGCAACCAGTAAACTATCAGCAAAATGGTATTGAAAAGCAAGTACACTATTTAAAGGAATTTGCAAATGTAAATCCATGTTATTTTTCAAAACTAAGAAAAAAAAGACCATGGGTCAGATAATTCCCTTTACTTTTTACCACAGGAAATGATCAAAGTAGCAGAAAATCTGCTCTTTTTGGCCAAACTTCTGTCAGAGACAGAAGGGGTCGAGCCAACACATGGTGTATGCAGCCTTGCAGCAAGAGGGGATGTGGCTGATGGGAAAGGAGGTGGAACCAGAGAAAATCCGTAGGGTAATACCTCCTATTAAACCCACAGGAATTTTCCTATTCTAGATAAAACAGAGGCTGATCCAATAAAGCAAATCTCAAACAACGCAACCTTTCTTTCCGTGCTGTTAGACGCTTGCGAATGAAGATGTGGGGCTAGGAGTGGTTGGGATGCTCTGCGTCGAGCAGCCGTATTGCTGTAGGGAACCAAGGGCCTAAGGGTTGCCCTAAGATACGTAAGAAGTACAGGCAAAAATGTGTACCTGCCAGAACGGTTTGGTAGGAAGTGAAGGGGTTGGGTTTTACTGTTGTTTTTTTTTTTCTTTCTTCCCTATCAAGCTCTTTCTAGACTTCACAAGCAGAAGCAGATGGTAGAGACCAGTACATTTTACTTCTTTGTTCTTGCTGCCTGTGAAAGGTGCCAGATGGGCAATGATAAAGATAGAAATTCTCTTCCTGTACCCCAGGGATAGCAAAAATGCAGAGCTTCAACCTGCCCTATCCTCACAGGACCACCATAACGTGTTTTTTTGGGGCCCACTGGTTTCACTCCTTGACTTTTTGCCAAGAATCTGACAGAAAATCCCCCTGGCAACTTGGCAGGGGCATCAAAATCATTAAAATATTTTACATAGGACACCAAACCACCACCAGGTTTGGATCATTCACAAATGGGCCAAAAAATATACAGGCTAGGTATGAAGTGCGAGGCCAGATCCTTCATATGAGTAACTTGGAAAATTAAATACTGGGTACTCTGAGAGGTGTTTATTTATTTGGGAATTATGAATTATCAAAACTTTTATATGAACAGTTCAAAGCTATATTTAATTAACATAATTAGCAGTAGCATTTGGAGCCATTTTCATAATGAAGATGGACACCTATGAACATGAAGGGCCTCACCCTTCATAGACTCCATGAAGTCTGTGTAATTAAATATTAATATTTTCCATCAACTGTTAAAATGCTAGAGGTCATCTTGTGTTGCAAAGCAAGGAATTATATATTGATTTTTCACTAATCTGAATCTTAGTAGAATTGAGTTTTATTGTATTGGAGTCCTTTGAACCTAAAGATTTTTTATTTTGTGGTTTTTTTTTTTTTAACCACACAGGGTATGATGCTGTATTTCAACAAAGTCAAAAGCAGCATTTCAAAATTAAGGCAGAGATTCCTGGGGTCTTTTGTCAGTTTGCCAGACTCTTGTTCCTGTTCTAACTTAATTTTTTATAATTTCCTTTTATGTTAATAAAGGCTTCTTGTGGCTGTAAAAGTTGAAGTTGTCTTACTCCATAGACAGCCTGGTTCTTATGTAGATACTATT